TTTTTTTCCTCTTCTTCTCCCCAAAGTCCCCTAGTACGTAGTTGTATATTCTAGTTGTAGGCCCTTTTAGTTCTGTTATATGGGATGCCACCTCAGCATGGCTTGATGAGTGGTGCTAAGTCTGTGCCCAAGATCCAAACTGGTGAAACCCTGGCTACTGAAGCAGAGCACGCAAAGTTAACCACTCAGCCATGGGGCTGCCCTTGTGTTTTCATTGTCATTAGTCTCTACGTATTTTCTGATTTCCCTTGTGATACCTTCTTTGACCCATTGGTTGTGTGTTTAATTTTCACCTTCGTGAATTTTTCCTATTTCCTTTAGTTATTGATTTCTAGTTTCACTTCATTATGGTCTGAGAAGATTTTTTAATGATTTTAGTCTTTTTAAAATTATTGAGACTTAATTTTGGGACCTAACATATGGTCTGTCCTGGAAAATGTTTCATATGCACTTGAGAAGAATGTGTATTCTGCTGTTGTTTGATGGAGTGTTCTATATCTCTTAGGTCTAGTCGTTTATAGTGGTGTGCAAATCCTCTTTATTGATTGATATTCTGTCTGATTATCCATTATTTAAAGTAGGGTTACTATTATTGTAGGACTGTATTTCTGCCTTCAGTTCTGTCAGTTTTTACTTTATATATTTTGAAGCTGTATTGTTAGGAGTATATATATTTGTAAATGTTACATCTTCTTGATGAATTGATGCTTTTATCCATATATCTTTGTCTCTTTTAACAATTTTTGTCTCAAAGTCTACTTTTGATATTAGTATAGCCATTCAGTTCTGCTTTGATTATTATTTACATGGAATATCTTTTTCCAAACTTTTACTTTCAACCTAATTGTGTCTTTGGATCTAAAGTGAGGCTTGTAGGTGGTATATAGCTGAATCATGTTTCTTTGTTTTCAGTCCGTTCTGCTGGTCTGTGCCTTTTGATTGCAGAATTTAACCCATGAACATTTAATGTCATTAGTGATAAGGAAGCACTTCTGCCATTGTGCTATTTGTTTTCTATATGTCATATTTTTCTTCTTCACTTCCTCCATTACTGCCTTTTTGTGTGTGTTTAATTGCTTTTTTCCTAGTTTATTGTTTTGATTCATTTCTCATTTTCTGTATGTATTTCTGTTATTTTTTTAGTAGTTGCTCTGAGGTTACAATTAACATCTTAAATTTATAACAGTCTAGTTTGAATTAATACCAACTTAACTTCAATAGCATATAGAAACACTGCTCCTAGAACAGCTGTGTCCCTGCCTCTTTATTTTATCATCATAACTTATAGCTTTATACATTGTGTGTCCATTCATAGAGATTTATGATTATTTTATGCATTTTTCTTTTAAATCATATAGGGGAAAAAAAGAGGATTTACAAATCAAAAATACAATAATATTGATCTTTTTTTATTTTAGAGGAAGATTAGCCCTCAGCTAACATCTGCTGCCAATGCTCCTCTTTCTGCTGAGGAAGACTGGCCCTGAGCTAACATCTGTGCCTGTCTTCTTGTACTTTATATGTGGGACACCTACCACAGCATGGCTTGCCAAGTGGTGCCATGTCCACACCCAGGATCCGAACCAGCAAACCTGGGGCCACCGAAGCGGAATGTGTGCACTTAACCGCTGCGCCACAGGGCCGGCCTCTCATATTAAGTTTACCTGTGTAGCTGCTTTTACTAGAGTTCTTTATTTCTTCATATGGCTCTGAGTTAACTGTGTAGCATCCTTTCCTTTCAGCCTGATGGGCTTTAGCATTTCTTGTAAGATATAGGGAAGATCTGGTAGCAACAAACTCCCTCAGTTTTTCTTTATCTGAGATTTATTTCCTGGATATAGAATTCTTGCTTGACAGTTTTTTCTTTCAGCCCTTTAAGTATGTCATCCCACTGCCATTTGGCATGCATGGTTTCTGATTAGAAATGAGCTGTAAATCTCATTGAGGAGCATTACTACGTGATGAGTTGCTTCTCTTTTGCTACTTTTCATGCTCTCTTTATTATTGGCTTTCAGCACTTTGATTATAATGTGTCTGGATATGAATCTCGAGTTCATTGTGCTTGGAGTTTGTTGAGCTTCTTGGATGTTAGATGTATGTCCTTTATCAAATTTGGGAAGTTTTCAACCATTTCCTCAAATATTCTTTCTGCCTGTCTCTCTCTCTCCTCTCCTTCTGGGACTCTACTATTTGTATGATGGTACACTTGATAGTATCACAGGTCCCTTAGGCTCTGTTCATATTTCTTCATTCTTTTTTTCTTGCTCTTGTTCCTCAGAATGTATAATCTCAGTCAACGTATCTTCAGCTTTGCTAATTCTTTTTTCTGCTTGCTCAGATTTCCTCTTGTGCCCCTCTAGTGAATTTGTCATTTCAGTTATTATACTTTTCAGCTCCAGAATTTCTATTTGGTTCCTTTTCGTAATTTCTCTCTCTCTTTGTTGATATTCTGTATTTGATGAGACATTGTTATCCTGGTTTTCTTTAGTTATTTTTGCATGGTTTCCTTTAGCACTTTGAGCATATTTAAGACAGTTGATTTAAAGACTTCATCTAGTAAGTGCAATGGCTGGGCTTTCTCAGTGAAGACAGTTTATATTAATTTCTTCTTTTCTTGTGTGACTAGGCCATATTTTCTTCTTTCTTTGCATGCCTCATAAATTTTAATTGAATACTGGAAACTTTTTTTGTTTAACACAGTTTTTTGTTTCCCACAGTACCTCTTATTCCTCCAGGTGTCTTTAGTTTGTTTGTTTTGTCTTTTTTTTTGTGATCCTTGGCTGTTTTATTCATGTTTAAGAGTGTGACACTGAAAAGCTACCTAGATACTTTATGTGCATGGGCATGTACATTTATGATTTACAGACCCCATTCATGGAGTGATTAGGTGAGGACCTTCCAAGGGGGAACCCTCAGGTGTCAGCATATGAAGGTTTTTTTACCCTTTGGATTTTCAGGAAAAGCTGTAACCCTGGCTGTCAGTGTTCTAGTAGTATTCCAAAACTAAGAAAGGGAAGCTAGAGTTCTCATTGTTCACTATACAGACCTTCATATGATCCCTTTGTTTTTAATGCGTCACCCTGACCATCAGCTGTCTCAGATTCCAGAGCTTCTTTGGCTTATCCTCTACAGAAAAGCAAAGGACTTTCTACCAAGCATCCTATTTTCAACCCCACTCTAATACCCTGAATTTCAGAGTCATGTTTTACAAAGTGAGCTAGCTGGGCTACCCCTACAGGTGTTGATTAGTACTTCCACTTCCTGAACCTGCAGCACAAATTAGCTTGTTTTTCATTGGCTTTCCCCCTACAAGCTTACTGATTCATTTTTTTCTGCTTTACCAAATCAGTTACCAGCCATCTGTCTATTTTTCATATTTTGTGTGGGGGGGTTTATACCATTTTTATTTCTTTATTCTTGTATAATGGGATTTCAGGAGGAAGAGAGATTAACACATTATTCAGTCTGCCCTCTTTAAGAAGGACTTTCTAAAGTTAAACACAATGTAGGACATCACAGAGGAAAAAGATTAATTTGACCACTGAAAAATGTGACATTTGTGCATAACAAAAACATAAAATTAAAAAGCATATAAGAGACTGGGATGTGAGTAACAAATATGACACAGGGTAATACCCCTAATATATGAGGAATTCAAGTACAAATATATAAGAAAACATTTGCCCCCAAAAGATAAATGGGCCAGGTACATGAAGAGGCATTTCACAAGCACACACAAATCCGTAGTTTTCAGTATCACTAATAGTCAAAAAAACATATACTAAAACAAGTTGTCATTTTTTAACTTAGAAATGTGTGTGTGTGTGTGTGTATGTATGATGAAAATGTGGAAAGATAGGCATTTTCCTGGACTAGAGATGGCGTTATAAACTGGAAGAAGTGTGGAGGAAGACAGTTTGGCAGTATGCTTAACTATCCTTGACTTAGAAATTCTTCCTTGCAAAGCAGAATTTCTCCTAAGGAAATCTTCTAAACTATGGACCAAATATATGCAAAAAAGATACCTATCTTATTTTGAATACTACTAACTGGTTAGAATAACTGACATTTATTGAGCCTTTACTGTGTGCTTCAGGACTGTGCTAAAAACATTTTATATACATTACCCCATTTAATCCTCGTACCCACTGTATGAGATATAAATACTGTTTTTATCTTTTAAAACACTAAGGCTAGATAGTGTATGAACCCGGTCTGGAGCCCTAGATCTAATAAAAAAATTTTTCTCTTTTACCATCATGCTCACAGAATTTTCTGTGACCATATATTACTTCTCTGAAGATAAAGGGAAATAAGCATTGTTTTCCATGTTTTAATAAGCTAAATGTCAAACTATAGTAAGTAAATAGTTAATATAGCAAACCATGATACTTTTATGTGATGTAATATGCAGCCATTAAAAATCATGTTCTGGAAGAGCATTTAATAACATAAGAAAATACTCATGTTGTAATTAGAAAAATGAGAAAACCTTTAATATGTTTTAAAATTATTTTTCTGAACTTACGGTAGATGGAAATACATAAAAATATTTTTAAATCATTGTTTCTGAGTGATTGGATTACAGATGTTTATTCATTTTCTTTTTTATGGTTATTTTCCAAATTTTGAATGTATACAGTTTTTTAAATCAGAAAAAACATTCTAGTGACCATTTCATTTATTAACTTAATGCTTAATGATGTGGAAATACTTGTATTCCTGGGGAACAAAGCCAGTTGTGAAGTTATATGTATGAACTCAGGTAGATTTCAGTTTTGTTTGTCTTGGAAAAGGCATTGGATTTGGAAATGTGCAAAAATACTAACAGTGATACTATTCCAAGAAGATAGGAATAAGCATGAACTTTTTTCTTGTTATTCATTACTTTTTTCTGTATCTTCAAAACTTTCTACTACAAATATGTGTTTTTGTAATCAGAAAAAAATTAATGTTTCAACTTGGAGAACAACTTTACTTTTTTTCCCTTATATTTTTAGACATTTGAAGACAGTGATTTGTTCCACTTGATTGGTGTTATCTGTGGATTAGCAATTTATAATTTTACTATTGTGGACCTCCATTTTCCTTTGGCTTTATATAAGAAACTGCTGAAAAAGAAGCCATCCCTGGATGATTTGAAAGAACTGGTGCCTGATGTTGGGAGGTTAGTTGTAAAAAGAGGAAAGGGTGGGGTGCAGGATATAGGAAATGGGGAATGTACAGAAAGCCTTTCTTTCAGGAATAATTGCATTTTGTTGTTCTTGTTGAACTTCTGAAATAAACAAAAGCCCTTCTAATAAAGGAAAACCCATTGTGTTACTCAGATCCAAAATTTTCTACTGAAAGACTTATGTGTATAAAACCATTTGCTAAGTATTTAATGGTTTGACAATACTTTGCAAATATCAGATAATAAATTTAGGAAGGTAATGTTTCCTGAGAATAGTTAAGTGATTTATTTGGACTTCTAATTGTGATCACCTTTTTTCCTAGCTGGAATATGTAAAGTTTCTTTTTATTACTAAAATGGAATAAAAATTATATATAAATAAGGATAAATGTTGAAAATGGGTAGATAATTGCCTTTGTATTCAGAGGAAGAGATAAAAACCTTGGAGTGATTTCTTTTTTCTTCAGCATTGTTTATGTTTGCCATTGTACATCTTCCATTCTGAAACAATAAAAAAGTACAAATTAATAAAAGGATTTTATCAAGAATGAATGAGAAATATATACTTATTCTTATGCAAAATAGTCAAAATACCCAGTAATGTTTTACCTCAAAGGAACATATATATTGTTTTGCAGAAGCATGCAACAGTTACTGGATTATCCAGAAGACGATGTTGAGGAAACATTTTGTCTTAATTTTACGGTAAGATGGAAGGACATAGGGTATCCTGATTATTCATCATCCCTTTTATTTAACAGCTGTGCCTTATGGTTTTTCTTTATTTTGATGAATGGAATTCTTCAAGAACCCTGTAGCTAACATTTATTGAGCATTAACTATATACTAGTCACAGTACATGCATTATTTCATTTAATCCTCAACAATTCTATGAGATTGGTATTATTATCCTTATTTTACAGATGAAGAAAACTGAAAACAATCATCACATGTCAGAGCTAGTATTTATACCCAGCTCTGTGACTATCATTATGCTACAGATCTTTACAAATGCAAGCGGTCCTGTTTATTCAAGTGTTCATTTTTGAGTCTGCAATTACAAGAATATTTAGATAAGCATTGTTTATTGTAACATGAGAATATTAACTAATGAACTTACCACTTAGAAGATTAATTCCCATTCAGACATCCCTTTCTGTTTCACACTAACGTTCGTCCTTACCCATTTTGTCTTACTTACTGTTGAATGGCATACCACAGTGCAAATGCAAATACATTGGAATATTATTTGGAAAATGAAATTGCAAATCTTGTAAAAGATGCAGAATTTTGTTAATTCAGTGAAAAAGATGTTAAATAACTCATCCAGTTACATGCAAACCATTGACAAATGAGGATCTGGCAGAAGTAGATTAGTTGACAAAGAAGAGAAAATCAGCAAGGGTTATGATAAGACATTTCAGAAGGGAATGATTTGAATATTATAAATTAGACTCTTGGGAAAATGGTCAAATCTTTGGTTTTCTTTCCTTCTGTTTTCTTTTTAAAAACTTTGTGTATTTGTTTTTTTCCCCCCAACAGTGCTCTTTATGATCTTGTGGTCAAAGCTGACAAAAAATACCATATTCTACTATCACACAGTTTGCCAAAAAACATTATGTGCCCCATCAAAAAAGTTTATCCATTATTTGATTATTTTAAGAATTGGCACATAGTACAGATATAAGAAAATTTGGTAGATTTAAGATGTAATAAATTATTTTTATTTTTTTCCAAGAAAAAAATCGATGTGGACTTTTACTATTTACTATGAAATTTTGGTTCCCCTTTTTAGTTGATTCACTTATAACCATATCAGTTACCTTTGAATCTTTATTGACTGAACTGAAACATTATGTTCCAAGCAGTTTAATTTCTAATTTATCAATCACCAAGTTTGCGAATGCTTAGTGTTTCTAAGAACTATGGTAATTCAGACATTCCTTCCCACTACCATTTCTTTCCCAGAGATTTTTAGTGGCTCTTTAATAGCTTTAGAATGGGCTTCAAAGACATTTGTAATCTGGCTTTCTTTCTAAATTTCATTGTATCCCTCCCTTCATACCAAGTTCTGTCATGTCACACAGTATTCTTTCACGTGACTTCCTGTTTTTTAGGGTCATACATTTTCATAACTTGATATTTACTCTCGAATCTATCCTTTTCTTCAGTCTATACGTGCTCAATTGGAAATCCCACCCCCTCTCAATCTTTTAGAGCACTTACTCATCCTTCTAGGTGCTTTTCAAATGATATTTCTTCCTCAAAGTCTTTTATACTTCCTCTGGTTAGAAGTAAGTTTCCTTTCCTCTGTGATCTGGTAGCATTTTGTTCATGTCTCTATTATAGTGTTCATTTTATTATAATGAGTTGTTTCTCCTCCTTTACTAGATAGCAAATTCCAGAGCAGGGATTTATTAGTTTCTTGTTTTACCATCCCACTCCCACTATAGTGTTTTATAGATAGCAGGTATTAAAAAAGCAGTTTAATAAAAGAGGATAATATTCCAAAAAGAGAAAAGATGCAAAGGTGGGAGTGGTAATACTTATAGGAAAATCAGCAGACTAGTAAAGGAAATAAAAAGTTTCAAAATAACTGACTGTCTTTATAAACCAAATTAATGGTATAACTGGAAAAACCACCTGTGATCAAGAATGCAACAAGGCAGATATGAGGAATACAGGAGTAGCAGCTGTCACGTGGGAAGAATGCATAGCTGATCCAAGCTGAATGCATTCTGACACTTGGATTCTGTCACTTGTCCAAGGAAAACATCCGTTCTACTGTTTTACTCCTGTAGTGACTGTTCTAAAGTTTTACACGTGATAAATACTTAGTTTCCTGTTTTTAAGTAACCTAACACTTAATTTGTAATTAGTCAAGGTAGGATTTCAAACTACTAGAGAGGATGAAAAATTTCTAGTTGTGGCTTTATGCAGAATTCATAAATAAGTTTATGCTAGCAAAATTTTACCTCACATTTATTAGTTCTTATATTTAATGAGAGAAAGGTGGACTATAATGATAGGTTATTAAAATAATCTAATAAGTTTTGAGTCTGACATTGACTTTTTTTAAAAATTTAAATTAATAGATCACAGTTGAAAACTTTGGTGCAACAGAAGTGAAAGAGCTGATTGTAAATGGTGCAGACACAGCTGTTAACAAACAAAATCGGTAAGTGAATTATAGCAGCATCAGTGACAGTAATAAGATTCAGTAGGCATTTTCTTCCGTATTTAGAAACATCACAACCGTAAGTTTTTACTCAGATAAAATGTACTTTTTGAATGGTTGGTTAGTGAGGAAATAATCTGCGTTTTGCTTCTAAAATCCTTTTGACATTAATAAAGGGATAAAAAGGTCATAAACAGCAAGAACAAAGAGAAGGGAGAGAAGACAACAGCAGATGTTTCTGAAAGCTAGAAAACAGTGCCAACCAAAGAAAGCTGCAACATAAGATTGACTGGGAGGAGCCAAGAAGGCAGCCAGTTCATATTGTAGAACAAAGGCTCAGGCATTGAGAATAAAAAAAAATATGTTAGAAAATATATGAGGTTTAGGGAAATACTAGAAACAGAAAGATTGGCTGTTGTAGGAAGCAGTTAGAAACCCATCTCCCTTAGCACACCAGTAGCCTGGCAACTTCCAGCCTGTGCAGAAGATTGGAAATTTACCTTCTGGGGAGATGGAACTAAAGGGACTGTGGATTTGAGGACAGTTAGGCACAGCTAGGGCAAGGGACTGAACTGAAAACAGGGAGATTAAATGAGAGTCTACAGCTCCCTCCTCCCAAGCTGTATATTGGAGGATTCTTCTCTGGGGAAACTGCCTAACTTTTAAATGTGAATGGATAGCCAAAGGTCAATAGACATTTAAGGAAAGACAAAAACAGTCAAAAAGAATGCCAAGGAAACAGAAATGATGCAGGATTAAGAACAAAACTTCAAAAGAAACTGAAATCATTATCTTCAAAATGATGAGTAGCATCCATCTGGATACTATTAAAACTTGAAAAAATTCATTGAAGGAAATGGAATGAATGAAATTTGTCAAAGAAATGATACCAAAAAACTTCCCAGAACTGAATGACATGCATTTTAAGGTTGAAAGCATGGGAAGTGAGAAAAAGATAGATACCAAGGCAAAATACATGAAATTTCAAAATCCCAAAGAAAAAGGAACTATAAAACCTGCCAGGAAAAAAAAAAAAAAAAAGCTGACCATATACAAAGAAATAAGAATCAGAATAACATCAGACTTCTAAAGAATGACACCGAAGCTAGATCAAAATTCTGGGAGAAAATGGTTTTTAACTTTGAATTGTATGTCGAGACTATGAAGTATTTGGGTGTATAAGAACATTTTCATGTATGCAGAGTCTCAGAGAATTTACTTCCAATACATTTTTCTCAGGAAGTTACTGGAGGATGTGTTCTACCAAAACAAAGAATTAAACCAAAAAAGAGGAAGACACAGGATTGAAAAAAATAGGAACCAATGTAGGAGAGAGGCAAAGAAGAGTCTTTCTACAGGAACAGCAGTGTGTAGAAGAGATAGAAAGAGCACCCAGTCTGGTTTAGATAAAGAGGATGGAGGGCTCCAGGAGGATTCTCTCCAGGAGAAAAATGCAACTGATGCTACCTAATATATTTAATGAATCTGGTGGAGATCGACATTTCTGTTGAAGTTAGGAATCAAGTAGCAAACTAAGGGAAACAAAAGTTCGTTTCTTTTTTCTTCAGAAGTTCTTTGTAAGGAAAAAAAGGTAACCATAGAATACTCTGTAGCTTAATTGTGAATAATATTTATAATCATAAAAATGTTAATGAATATTAAGCCAAAAATTGTTATAATGGGAGCATTAGGGGAGGCAAAGTGAGCATGGGGCAATTAAGTAAAAGGTACATCCTTGCCTTTCAGAGTAGCTATTCAGTTCATTAGATAATATTCAAAATTGAAAATCAGGGAATAACAATAGAAAACTGTTGTGGAAGTATGAAGGTAAATATCAGAAGGAATAGCAAAAAAGTTAACAAATAGTTACCTTCGAATAGCAGGAATTTCTGGTGAAAAAGTACAGGGCAGAACTTCTTTGTTCTCTTCTATTGGGTTACATAATTCTTTAGACAAAGCTAGCTTAATGGCTATTGCCAGGGACTTGATCCAAATGATTATAATCCTGATCTGCTATTGAGAAGCTGTGTAACTTTAGATAAATTAGTTGATGTCTCCATGCCTCAGTCTCCTTTTCTGTAAAACGGGATGATAAATTGTACCTGCTTCATGGGGTCATTTTGAGGATTAAATGAGGCAATTTTAAGATGCTTAGAATAGTACCTTGCACGTGAATGTGCTCAGTAAATGTTGGCTTTCAGGATTATTACTATTTGACATTTTACACTGTACATATGTCTTACTTTGATAAAAAATAAGCTGTTTTTCAAATAATGTGAAAAAATTTTAGGTCTTTCTAGCTAACCTTTTTTAAAAAAAATGTTGGTTTTAAAAGCCTTTGACTATGATTTAGATATTTTTCCTGCATTTAAAGTTTCTATTTGTGGACTAATTCCTTAAGTTTCTAAAAAATATTATTTTGCATAGATTATTTAGTTTAGAAATTATTTTAAAAATTTTGATCTTTGTACTACCAATCCTAGTTAGATAATGAAAGTGTTGAAAACAAAAATGTTAGCACATAAAACATTTCAGCCTTTTATGCTTAAGGAACTTAACTAGTATAGATAAATTTGACTTTCTAATTAGATTAATTATAAAATTATGCATTACAAAATTATTTATTTTTTCTCATCAGAGAAAATTATTATTTTTCTCATTAGCATATGCTATTGATTTTTCCTTAAGGCCTACCCAATTTTATATTTTACAGTAGCCTCCTTTAATCTTTTTTTTTCCTCTGTAAATTCAGTTTGGAGTTATTTTACAATTTGCTAAGACTGTCTGTAGATGACTAAATTTACCAATATTCCCCTTTGTAGAATCATTCATTTTAATTTGGAAGTCAAGAGTATAAAATACTGAAATCCTCTAGTGTCCATTCTCATTATTTGTTTGACCAGATAGCTGCATAAAGTGTTTGTGGCTAACAGAACAAATTGAATAATATTGTAGTTCTAATTACTGGGTAAAAGGGGCTTCCTTTTTTTCTTTACAGTTTCCTTTTATATTATAACAGACAGAAAAGCATCAGAAGTATTTGTGTGTATGTGTGTACATAGATATATACACATACATACATTTGGAAAGAAACTGCACTTGTACTCTTCAATGATTATCCTAAAAGAATGGTTAATACCTCACTTAGGTATTTAGTTTGTAAAATAAATTTTGTTTTAAAATTCCTAGAAACCCAAGGAAAAGCAGACTGTAGTCTGTCAAATAGTCTGAATCCCAAAGCTCTCATTTTTTCATCACCTAATATTTTTAACCGATCACTCTTTTTAGGGATGCATATGGAGTGCTGCATATAAATTCTCGATAATTTGTCAATAATTTTTTGATAGCCATTTGCATCATCATTCTTCCCGTTAGGAAATGACATTTCGCTTAGGAATAGCCTAAGAATGACTGTGAATGATAGATTAAGTCTACGTGCTTCATAGATATCCCAGATTTTTGTATAGAAAAAATAAACTGTACGTAAAGAGTCTCTATAAACTCTCCATAAAGACTTTGTCCTCTTTGAACCCTACTCATACTTTCTTAGTTTTGTAGATAAATAGCAAAAAGTACAGAAGTACTCAAAGTTTTAGTAAGACTGCAATATATATTCTCCAGAAAAATGACTTATATTCTGTACATGTGTGCTGTTTCATTTCTAGAAAGGAGTTTGTTGATGCTTATGTGGATTACATATTCAATAAATCAGTGGCTTCCTTGTTTGATGCTTTTCATGCCGGCTTTCATAAGGTCTGTGGAGGAAAAGTCCTTCAGCTCTTCCAGCCTAATGAACTACAAGCAATGGTTATTGGAAATACAAATTATGATTGGAAGGAACTGGAACAGGTAGGGGAAGACAACTCTATGATATTGTTTAAATGGAAAGGCAAAAGGAGAACGTGGCTTATTGATGAAAATCTTGCCCTCTAAGTTACTGTTTTCCATTTTACACTATTTATTACAGTTATTTTAATAGGAAAACACTGTACCCTTCTTCCTCAACAATGAATGAATTTTGATTGTGTATGAATTAGCATTTTTGTATATGTGGTATTGGTGGTTTTCATACAGAAATGTCCTCTATGACAGACTGGATAGAAGCCCCAGCTAAAAAACTGAATGGATTTTCATTCTGCCTTAATCCTAGGAAAACCATTATGAAAAGCACTGACAAAACTGAAGATCTTTGTTTCTTCTTTTTCTCAATTAGTCTCAATTTAACGTTAGTCTCAATGTTAAATTTTTTAGCAGAGAATAAATAATACTCATGATCTTCGTTACTGGTGCCTTAACCAATAAAGGGAACTTTAGGGAGAAGACTGGAAATTTTTTAAACAACTTTTTTCTTTTCCTTCTTTTCTACACAGACAATTCTCAGACATTTCTTCAGATAAACATTTAATAAAAAGTACTAGGTTAGATCAGCTTTGAGAAAGATAATATGCAGGGTTGACCTGTAAGTTTTTCCATCTTTGTAATCTAGCAACCTTTGATAAAATTTTCGTATTAATAGTTTGATACTATGTACCTATTAAGTTAACTAACATAAAAAAATACAATACTAAGTCTAACAAGGATACAAAGCATTGGGAACTCTCATACATTGCTGGTGGGAATACAAATGGTATAGCCACTTTAGAAACAGTTTGGCGTTTTCTTATAAAGACACACTTGCTACATGACCTAGCAGTTCCAGTCCTAGGTATTAAGTTATGTTCACACAAAAATCTGTAAACAGGGAGGGAATAGGGAGTTACTGTTTAATGGGTATATAGTTTCAGTTTTGCAAGATGAAAAGAGGTGGATTCTGGTGATGGTTGCATAACAGTGTGAATGTACTTAATGCCCCCAAACTGTACAGTTAAAAAGGGTTAAGATGGTAAACATTGTTATGTGTATTTTACCACAGTTTTTTTTTAATTATGTTTTTTAAAAATCTGCAAACAAGTCAAAAACTGGAAACAACCCAGATTTCCTTCAGTGGGTGAATGGATAAACCAACTATGGTACATCCATACCGTAAAATACTACTGAGCAATAAAAAGGAATGCACTGTTGATCCATGCAACAACTGGGATGACTCTCAGAGTCCTTATGCTGAGTGAAAGAAGCCAGTCTCAAAGGATTACACACCATATGATTCCATTTATATGACACTCTCGAAAAGACAGAACTATGGTGAACAGGGGCTAGGCATGGAGGGAGTATGACTGCAGAGGGATAGCACAAGAGAGTTCTTTGGGGTGATGGAACTGTTCAGTATCCTGATCGTGGTGATGGTTACATGAATCCATACGTGTGCTTAAAACTCATAGAACTATACACACATGAGAGAAATCCAGTTTTACTCTGTAATAATTCAGGAAATTATTAAATTAAAAAATAATTAGAACTTCTCGATAAACTAACACATGGACAAAGAGAACAGCTTAGTGGTTACCAGACCGGAAAAGGGTTGTGGGGTGGGCAAAAGGGATGAAGGGACACATTTATATGGTGATGGACAAGTAAGAATGTACAATGGAAAAAAATTCACAATGTTATAAACTATTATGACCTCAATAAAAAAAAACAATTAGTACTTCTGGTTAAGTGTAGTGAAATAAGCACACATTTATCTCTGCTCCCTACCCAGATCTCACTAGAACAATAAAGGAATAAAAATAGGACTACATAGACAAAAAATATATAAAAATACAGTGAACAAGAGAAAAAAATAGTTTTGGAAGATAGAAAATAGGTAGATGAGTTGATGAGAGTCTTAGAGCAAAGAAAATTGAATTCTGAGCCTCCAGAGAGAGAGGATTGTCAAGAGGCAACCTGTTTCACACCCTGGAAGCTCTGAAAGGCTCAGGAATGGGTACACTGTGTTACTGTAATGGCAGGGATGCGGGGGTGGCTGAAAGCAGTAGAATTACTTTAAAGCTAATTTAATGAATTATTAGACCCTTCATGTCCCCTCTCCTACCCAGCAAACAGCAACTCTGGAGAGAGGCTTTAGAATCTGAGAGACCAGGTGGAACTGAGGATGGCACTCAGAAAGCTGGTAGTGAGGCTTAAATCTAGGAAGGAGACTGAAGATTTCTTCTTTTGGGTAAACTGATCTGCTGAAAAGAAGAAAGCTGTACTAACTTTAAGGAGACGCCAGTGGAAATGGACCCCACCTCTAATCACCCTAAAATAGAGACAGTATAATGACCTCTCATCACACTTTAGATCCTAGACAATTTATCCTTCTTGCCTGATCTCCTCTCATTCTTCCTTTCACTTACTCTGCTTCAGCCTTATTGGCCTCTTTGCTGAGCTTCAAACCCTCCAGGAACACTCCAGTCTTGAAGCCTTTCTATTTCCTGTTCCCCTGTACCTGGAATTCTCTTCATCTTGTTAATTCCAAATGGCTCTTGCTCTTGCTTCACATCTTTATACCCTCTCAGAGACCGTCACTGGATAACTTGTCCAAAATTGAATGTATGTGCACGTACACACACATACCCTGTCTCCCTGCCCTGCTTTATTTTTCTTCTTTGACTTTGACTTAAGATAAATTTTACTTTATTGTCTTTACTGTGCTGCTCCTTTCCCTTCACTACAATGTAAGCATCATGAAGGGAGAATTTTTGTCTCTGTTCACTGCTGTATTCCTAAAGCCTGGAAGAGCACTCAGTAAGTACTGAAAACCTTGCCTGAAGATATAATTGATAGAAGTATTCATTCTGTAAGACAGGACATTTTTTAGTGTATTTTGGTGTATTTATACTTAATGTACTTTGATTTCTTCCATTGTAGATCTGATTCATTATACTTTCAATGATTATGATTTGTGACTTTAAATGCTCTTTCTTCATCAGGACTGTGTACACATTTCCCCAGAACCATCTAGAGGTTAAAAAAAAAGGCAAAAAGAAAAAATTTTAGCCACCCTTCTTTGATTCCCCACTAACATGCTCAGAGACTAATTCAAACAAGTTAATACATTAACTGATCACTAGAATTCAAGCAATTTTCTCAAAACTTGGTTGGCAGATTGATAGCAAATATTTTGTAGATTTCAGAGTTCAGTCATTGAGATAATCATGGCTGCAAATAGAGCCCAGAATTTAAGAAGCCCACCAGCAAGTATTTCTTGAGCCCCTACCGGATGCCTAATACCGTGCAAGAGATTAGGGAGCCAGCAGTAAATAAGATTGATACATGGTCTTTGCCTTCTAATAAGGAAGCTAGACATTAAATAATTGGACTGTGATTAATAGTAAGGAAGAGAATTTCATGAAAGGTATGTAAGGAGGAGCCTAACCTAGGACACAAATCTGGGAGAGCCTCTCATTAGGAGCTAATCTCCATGAGGTAGGTAAGGACTCTGTTCACTGCAGTTTTCCCAGGACCCCAAACTTCGACTGAACTCATTATGTATTTGTTGAATAAATTAGGTGACATTTAGTCTGAGCCCTAAAGGATAAATAGGGATTAGCCTGATGAACAAAGAAGGAAGGAGGATGTGTCTAAGGTTCTGGGCTGAAGGAACAGTGTGTCCAAAGGATGTTGGAAGATTCTTGCTGTCTTAACTAAAATTTATGGCCAGCTGTGTGGCTGGATTTTAAGGAACACCTCATAGTGTAGACTTATTCCCTCTCTCCTCTCTACCCCCCTTTTCTCTCAGAGCTAATATTTTTTAAAGGGGAAGTATATTACCCCAAAACTTAGTGGCTTAAAAATACCAGTGAACATTTATTATCTCACACAGTTTCTGTTGGTCAGGAATTTAGGAGTGGCTTAGCTGGGTGGTTTTAGCTCAGGGGTCTTCCATGAGGTTGCATCAAAATGTTGACTGGTGCGTTAGTCATTTGAAGGCTTGTTTAAGGATGGAGATGACGCACTACATGGCTGTTGGCCAAAGACCTCAGTATTTCACCAGGAGGACCTCTTTAAAGGGCTGTGTGAGTGCCTTCATGAAATGGCAGCTGGTTCCCCCCAGAGTGAGTGATCAAAAAAAGGCTAAAGCCACAAAGTTTTTTATGATCTAAACTTGGAAGTCATGTATTTCTCATATCTACAATATCCTAATGATTACAGAGGTGAAGCCTCTTCATTGTGGGAGGGGAGTGCACAAGGGCGTGAATAACAGGAAGCATAGGTCCTTGGGGGCCATCTTAGAAGCTCACAACCATAGAAAATGAGTGGTATTGCATTTGTACCATTTTTTTTAGGAGAATATAGAATGTAAAATAATTTGACTTCTGTTCATGAATATAGGAAAAGAAAATTTTGTAATTATCATAGATTAATTCCATTTTGAACTTTAATAATCCATTAACATTTTAGTAATGCTAGTTTATCCTTTAGACATTTACTTTTGAAGATGATATTACAATCTTGTCATTTCTTTGGAGTAGTGAGGACACATTTCTGTTGATTCATACTTATTTTCTTTCCTTTCCCCTGGATCTAATAGTTTCAAATTGTATGCCCAGGACATAGGTAATCAGCTGAATCACATGAGTTTCAAACTCCTGGACAGTGTTAGTTTTGCATTCTAATAAGGAAGCCAGTTTGTCAGATTCAAGGCAAAACTAATAACCCTTAATATTAATAAAAGGTTATGTTGTTTTTAGAATACAGAATACAAAGGGGAGTACTGGGCAGAACATCCTACAATAAAAATTTTTTGGGAAGTATTTCATGAATTACCATTGGAAAAGAAAAAACAATTTCTGTGTAAGTATTCCTAACTGGTTCTATCTTTTATGACAACAGAATCTAATTATTAAACTTATTCTCAAGGGAGATTGGTTCACTTTGGTGGATAAGGTTTTTTTCTTATAGTATTCTATGGTCTTGTTTTTAATTTTCAATTGGAATAATTTTTAAAATGTGCATTCTTTATTACATGTTTTCTTATTTTTTTTTTTCTGAGGAAGATTCACCCTGAGCTAACATCCATGCCAGTAATTTTCTATTTTTTAGTATGTGGGCCACCAGCACAGCATGGCCACTAACAGAGCAGTGTAGGTCCGTGCCTGGGAACCGAACCTGGGCTGCTGAAATGGAGCGGGCTGAACTTAACCAGTAGGCCACCAGAGCTGACCAGTGTTTTTTTTGAAAGCTAAATACCATTTGCCTCCAAGACAGAATTGATTCTTTCAAATGAAAACAAACTATAACACTGATTACAATAAACTAGGATTGTAATTCCTTTTAGAATTTCTAAGATCTCTGGAGTATAGCTCTTTTCTGTGTTGTCTTCATTTTTTTTTCTCCTTGGCTCTGCACCAAAACTTTGAGAATTTCTGTAGAAAATAGAATTTTTCTTTTCCAAGACTTAGTTTTCTTTTTTTGACCTAATCTCTGTCTTTCATCTGTTAAAATCTGTATTCTAATTGAAATTTTATTGATTTTTTAAATAAAGTCAGAATTTATGTATCTAAATCAGTGACATTCTCCTTGATATTCCTGCTGTTTGCCAAGAATTTTTTTTTTCTCCCCAAAGCTGCAGCACATAGTTATATATGCTAGTCGTAAGTCATTCTGCTTCTTCTATGTGGGATTCTGCCAAAGCATGGCTTGACAAGCAGTGTGTAGGTCCGTGCCCAAGACTGCTGGGCCGCCGAAGCAGAGCATGTGAACTTAACCAGTTGGTCATGGGGCCAGCCCCCTGCTAACAATATTTTTGTCAGTCTCTTTTTAATAATTGAAATGAGAATCTTGGTTAAATATCATAAATATGACAAGTCATTCTTAAGTGACTTGTTTTGGCTTCCCATTATAAATTTTTGTTTAAGAATGACAGAAACAAAACAAATAGAAAAAAGAATCACAGCAAAACTTCATTTTGTATTTGATTCATGAACTAGTTCTAAATGGCTTTTCCCAAAAGAAGGACTCCCAGAATGTTTTTGTCAGGGACAATAGTGAGTCATTCATCAAAAATTAAGTATCTCCTGTGTGCTAATATTAAGATTACGCCTTTAAAGAAAAAATATTTTGTGGATGTATAGTGTGTCTCAAAAATTGTGCTTCCACAAATTCTAGAGATAGCCTTCCATATTAGAGCAAATGTTAATGTAAAGCTTTGCTATAGTGACTGTGCTAAATAACTTGATACTCTATATTGTTGTTTTGATAAAAGTGGTTGGCTGAATGATTTTTTCTTGGCAGTATTTTTGACAGGTAGTGATCGCATTCCTATTCTTGGTATGAAGAGTCTAAAACTAGCCATCCAGTCCACAGGAGGTGGTGAGGAATATCTCCCAGTTTCCCATACCTGTTTTAATCTTCTGGATCTTCCAAAATATACAGAAAAAGAAACTCTACGCTCTAAACTGATCCAAGCTATTGATCACAATGAAGGCTTCAGTTTAATATAACTTTGGAGTTGTAACTATTCAGTTTACTGCAAAAGCATTAAACTAATTATTTGTGTTTTTCTTGTGGTGATGAATTCAGCAAGGTGACAGAGGTACTATTATAATTCTTACTTGCAAAATGTTCAATGCTATGAGTATTGATGAAAGCCAAAAAATATTAAAGGAAAATGAACAAACTGTGTTAATGTTAAAATTATTGTACAGACCATGGATTTTTTTTTTGCCTTCTTCCAATAAACATACAAGTATTGTGAATACATTGAAGTTTTACTAACATGAATTTTAAGAGTTTGCATATTTCATAAATGATCTGGTGTGTGAGTGCATGGAAGTGTTGCTTAATTTTTCTTCAATCACTGGGTGAAAAACCTTTAACTTTGGCCTGCAGTAGTCATTTGATTATTTTTTCATTTTGAAAATAATGTTAAGTTTTGTAATAAAATAGTTATGTTCTGATACCAGTACAGTTTCTATGGTTGTAATTGAACTGACTTTTAAGGATTAAAAATTATGATTTAAATCTTATTTTGAAAATCTATAAAAGTAAAAAATTAGCATGGTGAAAACACAATCTTTGCTTTTTTGCTAGAATAAATGTCCTTGTGCAAATCTCAATTACTGATAGGAGTTATCTAAATAACTTGTAGTTCTTTTGTTTTGTGAATCTTGAGATGCTACTGATAAATGGGAGGTTATCATAAAGCATAATATTTAGTAATGGAATAACTTTGTTCTGCAGTTGCCAGGAATAGAAACATTGGCTACTATGAGAAGCTATTACTGGGTTCTAGCTTTCAAAACTATTAATGCTGCAGATTGGTATTTAGTGAGAATTTTCAGTGCTTTAGAACTATTTCCTTGAATTTTAAGAAACAAATCTTAACAGTTTTATGGTGCTGATGCTTAGTTATCTCCTGTCATTAAATTGTAACAGTAAGTTCATGCAACACACGTGACTTTCTGCTATAATGCAAATATTTATTTTTTAAATTTATAAAAAAATGCCGTGAAAACTGTTTAAATAATAAAGATTTATTGGTTTAATATTTAAACTTTTAGTCATTCTCATATAAGATTCAGAGTTCTTCAGAGAATAATGTGTCAGGAAGGTCTCTTAAATTTTGGATTGTTGTTCCCATTCCCATACAAATTTGTCTATTTAATAGAGGTCCTCAAGTCTATCTGTAATTCCAAAATCCAAGATAACTATTAAAAAAACTTACGTATCTCATTTTGCAGCAAAACCTGATCTGAATTGTTGAGGTTACATGTATGTATGGTATTAAATAGGACTAAATTCGACTGTCTGTACATTTTACTGTGGCAGTGTTAATGTGCTTGATTACATACTGTGTTTGATCTAGGTGCTGCCTCAGACCCCTGTGGCATATACATAATAGATGTGCTTTAAAAATTCTTTAACGTTCCTAATTCCAAAATGCAAATAAGCCCAAGGTTTTGGAGAAGATATTGTAGACCTGTACTTTTCAGTAGTTTTAACTTAAAAACTTCTATTGGGCTATAGGTGACTTTCTATAGATAGAAGCTCTAAAATAGTATTCTCACCTAAGGTAATTTTCTTCAAAGTAGCATTCTTCCCTACAAAAATTCTTGCATATACTTGATATCAGACTGCTTCCCTGTATATCCATTCCTTGGGGGTAGTGATTGTTCACATCGAAAACATGTAGATGTGTCAGATGCTTTCTTTTCTTCAGTAACCTCTGTATGCTATGAAGCTGATCTGTGAAATAGCAGCCACTTTGGATTAATACAGATGGAAGTGAGTTGAACAAATATTTTAACAAGGACCTGGCATCTTATCTGGGAGCACAACAGTACAATGCTTAATTTGGGTAAGTCTGATACTCTTTTCTTCTCTCTGACATACAGTAGCATTAACAGCAAGGAGATTCATAGTAGAAAGTTAAAATACCACTGAAGATTTTTCAAATTGCCCTGTGCCTTTTTGAAAAATATCTTGAGCTTTGTAGAGTAGAAAAGTAGGCAAAATACTGAGTTGAGTAAATCATAAGGACCTTGATTGTTGAGTTGGCTAAACTTGAAAATATTGGGCTTCCACTCCACACAGATCTATTTGTAAGCGCAATCGTGTTTGCAGCTCACCTGTCTTAATTCAGTAGTGATTTTAACCAACGGCTGTTGTTCAGACTGATTGAGAAAGCAGAACCAAGATACGCCTTTAAGTTGGCATGAAATAAAACCAGAATGATTTGTAAAACACACCTAAATTAAGAGTCCCTGTCTTCTCATAGAGTCCACTCATAAAGACCATTCATTAGAGCTAATTTCTACTAATAGATTTTTGGTGTTTCTTACAGATGAGTTTTACTGCATTTAGTTCAACAAAAAAATCCTAAATCAAAGTGCCATATGCCTAGGGCAGTGTTGCCCTAGAAAAGGTAAGGTGAGCTCACTGAAAACAAGCGCAGATGGTACTGTTCTCAGTCTCTTCCCACTCCCCAACCTCTTTTGCACTTTGGCCATCCAAACTCCTTATGGTAGTTTTGTCACCCTATTTCAGTAGCTCCCCACCCTTGCCAGTGTTTACTATTTGATGAACTATTCCTAGAGATAAATTCGGAATAGTCTGTTTTATCTAAGTCTACCCTCCCTTTTAGGCCAGCTCCTAGGAATGGTGTTAAGTGCAGAAGGGAACTCCCCTCTTCCTTTCCTTTCTCAGCCCTTGCTATATTTTTGAATCACCTGAGGGCATTTTTTTAATACTATGCACAGGCCCCCCCTTATGCCAATTAAATCTCTATCTCTAAGAGGTGATGCTCAGGTTAGATATACTTTAAAAAAACTCCCAGGTGATTTTTAATAGTCCCAGTTGATGGCCCCTCAAAAGTGGGTAGAGGTCATTAGACCATTTCTCCTTATTTCTGCTAGCATCCTACGATTGAGTTTAAGGCTTAGATTTATCTATAAGGAGAAGAGAGGTTTTGCTGTACCAACTGCTACAACTAGCACTGTCAGTGTTTGGTTAAGTACCATTGTAGTTAGTTATAAGTGGAAGACATGTAGTACAACAAAGCATCTAATATAACCCTCAAAGCTATAGAAAGTTCTACAAGATTTTAAAATCTCATACCTTAAACAATGTAAGTTAACAGAAAAAAGTCAAATGACAATTTTAATAGACTTTAAAACAGTGTACAAGTATAAAACACTGGTTTTGTATTTCAAAAGTTGGAGGAAGATATCCAGTCATTAAACAGTCTACAAAACATATGCCAGTAAGATTACATAAAAGACTATGTACAATATAAAAAGAGCTGAAAACAGTCTTCACTGTAAAAATAATTTAAAACAAATTCTTCAATTTAAAATATCATCTATAGCACAAACACACATCATGCAAATGGTAAACTAAATATACTGCATTCTTTAGTGTAGCCGAATAAATTCAGATTGAGACATCTTTTACGGTAGAGAAATGTCCATTCAATAAAATTTTTTTCTCTGGCAGTAATGGTCCTGGCTGGGTATTTTATCCTTAAAGAACAGCTATGTTTCAAACTTTTTATTTAATTGTAATAAATACTAAACATAGGAATACTTTGTAATTTGGGAGTAATGCTGGGTAAAGGTCTGGAAAAGAAATGCTTACTGTGCAATTTTATAAAGTATGAACTTTTCTGAAAGGCTAGAAGCTTCCACAGTTGAGAAAGTTGATCTCTAGTTTTAAGGCAGGCTAAGCTTTTAAATAAAGACAGACACGTTATAGGAACTAGGTTCATTCATTAACTGTTCTGCTGTTACAAGCTACATCATGTTCATCTCCATAATACTAGGCTAACAGTTTGGTGTTTATTACACCAAATCCTCCCAACAGGAGACATGTACTTACTGGCTGAGTTATAATTGACATCTTATTACTTTGGAACTGTATAATCAGGGGCCTGTTGCTCTCATCATTAATGGAAAAGAAAAGCAGCAGTCCAAAATATTACACTCTCCCCAGTTGAAGTACCATTATTATAGATTCATAAAGACTTTGCATATTCACACCTTGGCAGTTTAATACTTTTGTGGGAAAGGATCAGTGCATGCTCTACCACAGTGACAGGTATTTAAACAATGGCAAATATTCTCAAATTAAGGGGACCCAGACAGGCACTATTGTTTCTAAAGCAACTGAAACGTTTCCAAAGCATTTATTTGTTTTTCAGGTTAGTTTTATGAGCCAATATAGACATTACTACATGTCCACAGGAAGTACAAAAGCCATCTTCATTTGAACAATACAATATTCCTGAAACTCTTAGCACCAAGTCTTACTTTAAAAAGCTAAGACAACTGAGTGCTCTCCCACATAGTGTTGACTTCCCTCTACTCACATTGCATGTCATGAGATTTTTAAAAAGTTAGCTGCCACAAGTTTTTGAAAATGCCAGTGTTTAAAAATAGGTAATTGTGCTAATAAAGAATCAAAAGTTTAGCAGAACAGAGATTTGAGGGTTACAAAGAAAAGTGTGAAAATACCATTCTTTGGTCTAGATAAGCTGTTCCCTTTACATTAATTTAACATTCCAATGGCTTTTTTGAAAACTTTAAAATGTTGAAACTTCACTAGGCAAAAACAAAATTATATATACAGATGGATGTATCATACAAATGAACTTTTAAAAGAAAGTCTTGACCAACAGCTGATTAAAGATACTTAGTACCTTTCTTTTAAAAAAAGTTAGTGTTGAGTGTACAAGTACAGAAATAAGGAAGTTAAAAATTACGCATGAAAAAAACAATCTAGTTTACCAGCCTATAAATATTACACCTTTCTGGTTTCCTTGCTCTATTGAGTTCACAAGTAAACATTCATTTTGACATGCTAAAAGTTCCTAATGCTGGTGGAACAATTCCTGTACCTGGACAATTATTACATTATGATTTGTTTGATGAATAGTTAATGTCCGTTGCTTCCTGTTTCGTGGATATAGTTTCATTAACTGCCTCTTGATCACTTCCATCAGCTCTAAATCCAGTTCCTCCAGCTCTCTCATTAACATCAGCATCATCTTCCAAACCATTGTAGAATTCTTCAATCTCACTTTCATCCTCCATGGGTTCTTCTAAACTTGGACTCTGGCATGTTCCACTATCACTATTACTGCCACAAGAGCTAGAGGATAAGACATCTTCTTCAGAGTCTGAATATACCTCAGCGCCATGGAAAATGTAACGATTTGGTGGTAAAAACAGATACTGATTACCTGAAATACAGTAAGAAATGAGAAGTAAGTTATTTCTAGTTTTTTAAGACTAACTTGGTCTCACTGGGCAGTCTGGAGTAACTGTAGGTTCCAGCTCTGCCTCTTGCCTAAGTATCATTACTAGAGGCTATTTCTAGTGTTTTTAAAAAACAAGCTATCAACTAAGTGCTGGGTGCAAATCTTAGTTCTGCCACTCACCAGTTTTGTAAATTAGGGTGGTTATCTCTCTTTGCCTCAATTTTTCTCACCTAGAAAATGAAGTAATTTTCACAACCCTATGAAGTTAGTGTGAAAAAATGCAAAGAATCATGTTGAATAAAGGTTACTTAACGAACTCCTTTGAACAGATTTGATGAGATGAAGTATCCACAGCTCAGCCTGCATTAGATAAGGTATATTCAATGAACATGAATTGGCTTATCTAAAGCACATACTATGCTTTCAAAAGCATCCTCATTAAATATTTTCACTTCACTTTGCCTGCCTATTATAACCTAAAATTAAAATAGTTTGTCAATAACGGCTTCACCACCTATTCAAAGTGTAGTCTGTACACACTAGCATCACCTGAGTGTTTGTTATAAATTTATATTCTTGGGCCCCACCACCCATCTACTGAATCAGAATCTATTTTTACAAGAGTCTTATACACACTGAAGTGTGAGAAGCACTGATCTAGCATTGGACTTGAACTTCAACCCTCTCCCTAACTTGCATTCACAGTATAAGATTTGACTTGTGATAGTAAGGAGAGTTCCCTCCCTCTCTCCCCTAAGCTATGGCCCCCAGGTCAAGAGCACCTTCTCTAAGATGTTCCACTCTTAAAAGCATCGGTTTGAAGGGCTGGCCCCATGGTGTAGTGGTTAAGTTCACACACACTGCTTCGGCAGCCCGGGGTTCATGGGTATGCATCCTGGGCATGGACCTACGCACAACTCATCAAGCCATGCTGAGGCAGCATCCCACATATGAAATAGAGGAAGCTTGGCACAGATGTTAGCTCAGGGACAATCTTCCTCACCAAAAACAAAAAACGAGAAGAAAGAAAATCTATCAGTTTGAGTCCAGGAATACTAATAAAGTTCTTAAAAATCACAATGTAAACAAAAGAAGCTAAATTAAATTTGACCAAGCTGAGACTTTTAAGAGAATGGGTGGGAACCCTAAACATTAATGATGAAATGTTTTCTACACTGAAATTCACAAGAACAAGTAACTTCTAACTTAAGTCTGTTTTCACATGTAATGACAGATTCACAAAAGCCCAACTACTACACACTTGATCTGGAGTACATGCCATCTACCAAGCCGACCTAAGTTTCTCTTCAAAATAGCTTTCAAACTTTATTATCCCCATCAAGACCCAGTTTTCTGGTCTGAAACAACCTAATATATGTGACAATTCTGATCTGAACCCACAAAACTGATTAATCCACTCACAGATCACAAATTGCAGTGTGAAAACCACTTACTTCCTTCTTTTTCAAGAGAATACATAATATTCTTCAGTTTTCTAAGCCACAACTATTAATTTTCATGATCAGAGGAGGGTGTCAAGTACTTGTATTCTACCTGCTAACAGAAAATAGGGCCATCTCCTTTGAATCACACCCGCTTAGTCTTTTAAGGAGTCCCAACACAGGTTGTCTTCCACTTTTCTTTCTATAGTTTTGGCCCATCTTCTAAAAAATGCTTTGTTCTGCTCTGGCCCCCCCGAAGAACTGAATAATCTATTTCTCAGCCCAAATACCCTACACATGTCTAGTTTTGCCCCTTTCTTGGCAACCATCAAGACAGATTCAAAGCTTACCTCATATATGCTCCCACTTCCTTTTGCCTTGACCTCACAACAGAAATAGTGGCAAAATAAAATGAGTAAAGCCTAGTGGTCATTTGGTTTTAACAGCTACAATTTTATACCCTACGTCAGTTTTCTTTTTAAATTCTCACAATGCTATCAAGTATGTGCTATTTTCTTCCCATTTTACAGATTGGATTAAGAAACAGAGATTAAATGACTACCCAAGGTGTAGATCTGAGACAGCTCAGGTCTAATTCCAAAGCCTGCACCTTTAAGGCCTAAATGAGTAGAGTAAAACCAAAGTATAATACCAAAGAGACTGCTCCATGTTTAATTTTCGTTTCCTGGGGCAAAGAGTTCTTTGTGTGTGACCCATCTGTCAAAAAGATATTCAAAGAAAATCCCCAGTGCAAAAAGTCTTCCAGTGCATACAGAGACCTTGTATATGGTAGAAACTTGTAGGGGCCAGCCCCGGTGGCCTAGTGGTTAAAGTTCAGCACACTCTGCTTTGGTAGCCTGGGTTCGGTTCCCAGGAGCAGACCTACACTGCTCTGTTAGCAGCTGCGCTTCTGCTGGCGGCCCACATACTTAGAAAGAGATAGAGGAGGGTTGGCATGAATGTTAGCTTGGTCAAATCCTACTCAGCCAAAAAAAAAACCATATTACCTGACTAAATCAGTAACAATTTTTCTACTTCTGACTTGCCACATTTGCAAACATAAGCATTCTAATGCCTTTTCTAGTTTCCCCTGGGAAGACTTCCCCTACTTTTAACTCTCTACTTATTGTTCAAAACCAAAGTCAGGAGTTAGATTTTCTGGAAAGCCTTCTATACCTAAACCCCTCCAAGCAGCCTCTACCTTTTTTTAACATCACCTATTTTTTAATCACCTATTTTTATAATTATACACAAAACATCAGTAGTTTGTTGTCTCTCCAGAACTTGCTACAATGCTTACTATGGAAAAGGCCCAAAGGCTTATTCGACTGAACTAAAATTCATTTACAGCACATGCTTAGAACTTGTCTAAATTTGTCAGTTTTCACCCTGGATGGTAAATGGAGTGGGACTTAATGTTTAAGTCATACAAGACTGTTGCTTCTTAGTTAAAGAGCGCATGTTTTTTATTTTGATTAAATTAAAATTTTTTGCCAAAAATGCTGCTTGGACTTAAACACTGATTTCCAAAAAAGTGATTTCATCTATGTTAATTTAATACTAATTGGTAAAGACTTCCCATATGTCAAAACAGGGTAGATGCTATTCCTAATATTCAGTGGAGAGGAATCGGAGATTTTCTAGATCTGAGATAACACAGCACAATGGTTAAGAGGATACGCTCTGAGGATAGACAGGAATCCAATCTGGCTCTTCCGTGTCCCAGGTGTTACTTTGCATGGGATACTTAACCTCTACTGTACTCAGTTTTCTCACCTGTAGCAGAGTAGTAGTAATAGTTCCTAACTCATGAGATTAAAATCAGATAATGTGTATAAAACAGCTGACCCACAGTAAGCACCCAATTCTCAGGCATCATTTCTACCCGCTAAAGCTCTCACCAGACAACAGCATAGCTCTCAATATTTCTGTTTTCTTTTCAATTTAGTGCTTATTCTCTAGAAAAACACAAGGTATAGGGCACACTTTATAAATTAAACACTATTTCTCCCCCATACTATGTAAGATACCAGTGTTTATCGTTCTCTAGCTTAAATTCTCAACGTTATAGTTTCTCTAAACACAATCAACTGTTACATTCAGCTGCATAAAGCTACCCTGTCAACTAACCTGCCAAAATTGCTCATTTCTTGGAAATATCTTGTTACAATAATTATGCCTTTAAAATGGCTCAACAGCCTTTCTTACCATCAAGCCGTTTACTAATCTGCTCCTTTGCGAGTCTAGCTGGCCAGCACTTTCTTACTGCTTCAGCAACTGAAGTTCTTTCATTTTTCTCCCCAGTATCAGAGCCAACATTCTTCAAATACGGACTTCCCAACCGTTCAGTAACACTTTGAAAGCTCCTAGTAGATGTCTGTACTTCCTGTGATTTTTCTTCCATACAATCTTTTGATTTGGACACATCTGGATCATCAACATTACTCTTTGTTGCTTGGTCTAAAAGTGTGACAATCACGGACGAATCTGGTGGTGAAGTTCTTTCTGGTGAACTTGAGTCTTCTGAAATATTAAGAGGTGTGGGTGGCAATTCTGACAAATGAGCCAACTCTCTTTGTGTTCGTGGAGGTTTTTCAGTAATTTCTGAAAGCTTTATAGGGTTGCAGCAAAGTTTGGCATATTCACCACCTAACCTATGACACAATTCATTAATTATGACATCACAGTCTCCAAGAAGCTCTACATCAAAATGCAGATGAGGCAAAGGTTCCCTATTAATTAATATCTGAGGCACTTCATGGGGTATGGAACCTAAAAATAGGGCAAAAAATAAAAGAAAAAGGGAAGGGAAGTAAGCTAATAAAACCACAACAAACACACTATGCAAAAGTCTAATATGCTCCTCATACCAAAAAAGAAACCCACCACTAATACTTAACCAAGCCATTACATTTCATCAAGCTAGGGAGTAAAAAGATGAGCAGCTAAGCATCTTTTGTAAAATTTCAGGTTCTGCTCCTGTCACCTGGTTACTCCTGAGCAATCTTTTCAGACTTTTCCATTCTGTACCTCAATTTCCTTGTCTGTCTATTGGGGATAACAACAGTATTTGTCCACCAGGTTGCAGTGCAGATCAAATGAATCAAAATATGTCAAATGCAGAGAAGAGTTCTTGACACATAGTGAGTTATTCTACTGAAATAGCTCCTGATAAAGAGAGTGAAAATTCATACAAGTCTATTCTCCACTATTATATACTTGTTTACATTTTTTAAAAATTACCTCTGCCTATCCCCAACACACTATTATACTACCCCACAAAAAGCTCTTAAGAATTTCTCTGCCTTGGGGCCAGCCCTGTGGCTTAGTGGTTAAGTTCGGTGTGCTCAACTTTGGTGGCCCAGGTTCAGTTCCCAAGCACAGACTCATGCCACTTGTTGGCAGCCACGCTGTGGCAGTGACCCACATATAAAATAGAGGAAGACTGGCACAGATGTTAGCTCAGGGTGAATCTTCCTCAGCAAAAAGAAAAAAAAAGAAAAAATTTCTGTGCCATACCTCTAAAGAGAAAAAAATAACTCAAAAATAAAGGAGCTTATACAGTAGGTTTTCATGTTTTGTTTAATTACAAATTGTCCCATATTCTCCTTTAATAGAATTTCACAGCTATTTAGGATTAAACTGCTAAAGCCACCATATATGGGATAAGGAAAAGATGCATAATTGGAGATTTTAACTCCATTTTTCTTCCAACTATTTACTCTGGCTGCCTATTTGATTGCTGCTGTAGGGGTCTAATTTCATTCTCTGGTTAAGGGTTTGATATTCTCTCCTGTCCTCCTTCCCTCACTTTTTAGGGCACACTTGAAGCTACTGAATGAGTCCCTCTATCTTCCTCTCTCTTGCTTCCTCACTAGAGGGAGAAAAAAGGTAGTATGAGAGCATGTATTACAGAAATATTCCTAAGAAGAGTAATAGGGACTTAAATTGTATTTGAGCATTTTTATACACACAAACACCCTCTGGGTAAAGCAGATCCACATACAATAATTATGACAAGGCAGGACTGTTATTCTTAGAAAAACAATTATTTTGAACCCCAAAATTCTATCTTAATGAGTACATTACACTTCCACCAAGCTATACATTTGAACTTACTGAACCTGAAATCAATTAAATTTGAAAGATCAACAACTATAATCAAATAAAGATAAAAAATACATAGATTAAGGGCTGTCTCCTAGGTGTATGTAAAGTAACTCCTGCCACATTAAAAAAACATTCTGTTGAAAAATTTAAGTTGAACTGTTGCCCTTTGTCTTAATTTTTCATATACATTAGAATTTGACATTACTTCTGTTTTGACAGCCCTCTCCCTCCACCAAAATGTCAGATTAACCAATCTTCATTAATAAGAATGTCACCTAAAAAACAAAGTTTGGCTCTTCACCACTTTTAACCAGAAACAGAATAAGAGCACTGGAGTCTATTCTACAGACCCACAACTCAGGGCACTACATATACAAATGTTCACTCAAGATCCTCACCCACTTACTTGGAATTAGTGCTACTGGTCTTACTTTCAGGGAAGACCCAATAACGATGAGGAGATCAACTTCATCTTTGTCATATTTCATGGCTCTATGAAACTGTTCTGGTAAATTTTCACCAAAAAAAACAATCTCTGGTTTCATGATAGCAAGTGGTTCATCAGCTGGGCACCTGGGACATCGAGGAACCACCTGTGTGTTCCAGATTTTGGTTGAGGTAGGGAAGAGAAGGGAAAGCCCAAGTTAGAAATAGTCAACATTTTCACACTTCCTAAGAATGTATTCAAAGTTATCCAAGAAAACAGAAAAGCTGTGGATAAAAAGGGAAAACTGGATACAACCTAAATGTCAATATCAACTGTCAATAACTGGTTAGTTTATTAATATACAAAGAAATACAATGTTGCTATTATATCTGTAGACTTACATTTGATATTCAAGAGTTCACTGTCTATTAAAGAAAAAACCAGCATGTATATGTAGGTACATACATGTACACACGAGACTTAGTCCTTTAACAAAGTTTGTAAGATAATGATTCCATTTTAACATGCTGTCCTTCTCTCATAATTACAGTCATGCATTGCTTAATGACACGATACATTCTGAAAAACGCAGTTAGGTGATTTCGTCGTCATGTGAACATCACAGCGTGTACTTACACAAACTTAGGTGGTATAGCCTACTACACACCTAGGCTATATGGTACCCACATGGGACCACCATCATATACTGTGTTCGTTGACTGAAACATCATGTAGTGCATGACTGTATACGATTAACTATACATGCAGCTAAACACAAAGAATTTATTTCTGGGTGGTTTTTATTCTCTGCCATATTTTCCCTTATATTTTTTGCTAGTAATTTACACGAAATACTTTTACAATAATTTTTTAAATGTTTTAAAGTATTACCACAACTATCTTAAGATTCCAAATCTGAAAGGCACTACAAAGGGAGAGTAAGAAGAAAAACTAATACTGCAACACTTTATGATCTGGATTTTTATTTTAGGCTTAGTTATTAAGGAGCCCATTTCATCATTTTAGAGACATTATGCAGCAATGTTTTCAACTTAAAGTATTGAGAGGTTCTTGTGTAACTTCACCAGAATTCCCAACGATAATACTATTCCTGGATCTTTCTGTATCACATAAATACTTTCAGAAAAAAAAGGATTTGGAGGCAAAAGAAGAAACAGATCAGAGACATCCAAAAATATGAGTGATAAATTACCTGATTAAAAATATCTCCTCGTACAGCTTCACAGTCAACTTTGTATTTACAAATCAGGCAAGACGCTGTTGCAAAGGAACCTAAAACAACCAACATAGGTATGCTTTATTAAAGGAATGTTTTCATTTCTTAAACATCACAAAGGTTATACTATAAAGTTTGACATCAGAAAAGTTAGTGAATTTTAAAATTTTAAGAGACTCTATGGGAGCATCCGGGTGATGAAGCATTAAAATAATTATATAGATAATAAATAAGGAGAGGATCCAATCCTCAATTGCTGAGAAACTGATATAATGATGCCTCCTAAAGCAACTCTTTTCAATAAAATAAACCAACTCCTCCAGGGGTAAAACTCTGCAGAGGTGGAAAGTTACAATTATACTAGCTTAATAATTGTGTTTTAAAAACAGTTTAGATACATAAGAAAATGGTCTGTTCAAACTTGTTATTTTAGATTGAAAGTCTTTTAAATTTGTGAAACCTGTACATCTCAACTACTCAATTTCTTTGGTTTCCTAAAATAAAGATGTCATGTTTTTTCATACATAGCTAACATTACTTTTGTAATCTAAAAAGTTATTTAAAAGAATTTAATGGAATGCAATTGCTACATCTTTTGAAATTCAAAAGCACATTAATATCTGACTTTTTATACAAATAAGTGTCAAGGCCAATACTTCTAGTTTCATTGTTTTGCATTCTACTTTTAATTTATCTACAATTGGTCAGATAACATGATTAAATAATACGGCTTAATCTTCATTCCTGGATGGCAGCCCACTTTCTAATCCTAATTTTTCCTATAAAACTAAGTAACAGAAAGCAATTCTGAAGTTTACTAACCGTGACACTGAATTATCCTTTGGATTCCTGCAACCTGTTCCAGTGTATCTATGTTCTGAGTATAGTTGCGAAGTAGTTTTCCTTCCTTATCTGACAAAGCTATGAATTTGTGACAGAGAGATGGCTGGAACTGTCCAGGATATATTTCCTATATAATGCAAAAGGCAGAAAAAAGATTAAAGAAATACGTGTAACAGATGTTATATGTTTAGGTTTAACAAAAATCTACCAAATGATAATCCCCCATGTATAAATAATTTAAAAACTACATGAGCATCTCAAAGCATCTAAATGGATGCAACACACACCTACAAAAGATTATTGCTATAATATGTATAGCAATTAGTGAACTGGGCCCCTTGAAGAAAAGGATAAAGTCAACCCACAAACATAATAGATATTTTAATATAAGTCAGAAGAAATACACACCTTAGGATATATCTAATTTTTACTGGCTGCAAATTCAGAGTTTTTTCTTTTAAACGGGGAAAGTTTAAACTGAAATGAAAAATATCAAAGGTATGGTGACTTCTAAAACTAAAAAAAGGCACTGTCAACATAATATTAAAAATTTTTGATTCATCATTTACTATAAATATCAACCTGTTGGAAGTTTAAAGCTAAAGTTTTAATGCCTTACCAAAATTGTTTTCCTTCCACTGCACAGGCACATACTGGTATAGTAATGAGTTGCTCATGAATGTTGAGTTGCTGGATTTTGTGTGTGTGTTTTTCCCCCCAAATAATGCTTCAATGCTGTTTCTTCTTTAAAAACAAAGAATTCAGATATACACATGGCAAAAAGATCAGAGAAAAAGTATCAATTTTGGTCCTCTCAACTTTTGACAGTGTTTTTATTAAATTTCATTTAAGTGACTATGGCAAAGGAAGTTTATTCTGTTTTCTTTAAAGTAGTGCTACCTACACTTCCTTACTATTCATTACAGCCTCTAACCTATTATAATGCTAGCAAAAAACTAGACACAACCATATGTCCATCAATAGGGGACTGGTTGTAGAAATACAGTACATCCATAAGTGGAGTATGCAGCCATTAAAATGAATGAGGGATGTCTAGATGCACTGACCTGGGAGATGGTCCATGACATGCGTGAAAAAAGCAAGTCAGTCACCAGTGTGTATAGTTTGTTATTGTTGTGTTGTTATTAAGCAAAAATGGAAATTATATGCGCATGTATATTCATATAACATAAAGTCAGGAAGCATACAAACAAGCCATAAACAGAGGTGGGGGAACTTTCACTTCTGATATCATACGAAAAAGTTTAATAAGATTATGGATGACTTTTAACCTATTTAATATTTCAAATTTAAAAAACACTATCTACAGGGATACCTTTTTGGTAAAAATACTAAGCAAATCTCATAACTATCACATACATGTCCATATGCTGCTAAAAATTTGTGTTATACAAAAATCCAAAAATTTTGTCTTATTCAAATTTTTATGAATTTCATGGACAACTGTGCAATTTAAGAAACAGACAGTGCATACAGAAAGAAGTAACAAGTGAAGAGCATATCAAAACTAATGTTTATAGAAAACTGAAAGCCACATTATGTTTTGAACCATTGGGTTGTGCTCTATTAAACACTCAGGATGCTTTGTTCTAGTACATTCACGTTTACATTCAGAGGATTAATCACAGAATTTTATTAAAGCTCCCTCTGGAAATAGCTGTTAAAATATTTTAACAAGTATCAGAGTATACTAGGCAACAGATAAAATAGGATTTAAAGTAGTGAGGAAAGTGATAACAGCAGGCCAAATGTAGAACAAGAACAAATGACTACCTCTGGAGCAGTGTCAGGGAGCCAGAGAACCGAGACTCCAAGACTCCACCCTCTTGGAATGAAGGTTTGTGTGCCTTATCATCCCCTGCCCCCCTTTTTAAGGGGGGGAGGAGGTAAAAAGCACAAAGATGTGTGGGACACTAGATTCAGCTCTACACAACAGTTCAGGGTAGTTTAGCCCTTAAAGTTACGAATCCATTCCTGTAGTTGGGGATAATTTGTGAAGAATTTTTTTGTATTATTTTATAAGGCTTTTATGTGTTAGAACCTAAGTGATCGGAATCTTGACTTTGTCTATTTTATTTCAAATATGCACTGGACCATGTCTGAATCATTGGATTTAAAAACTATGTTCAAACTAAGGGATATAATCTGAAATAATGAAAAAATTACTCTGGAAGAACCGTTTTAATAGAAACTATTCCTACGTCAGGTTCTTAACATGAAAAGTTTGCTAAAAACCAAATGGCTGGGGATACAACTTTCAGATAAAGTATGGATTAATTCTTCCTGTGACATGCTACTCTGCTCTAAGACAGGCCATCGCAAATCTGAACATCCTAAATCCTATTAAGGAACCAATCATGAGGGCCCAGAACAACTATGTGGGCTGGGCCATTCTTTTACTGCCACAGGGATCCTTACAGATTTGAGTGGAAGCAGAGCTGGGACCAAAGGCTCAAAAATGCTATTAAAAAGACACGTTACTTCCACACGGCTGTGTCCAGAAAGATGCAAACGATCCAGTAATTGGTCATAGGCAACCAATGTGGTCAAAACTAACCCTTAGAACTATCTGCCATAGTGAGTCTTCATGCAGAAATAATGGCGTTCCTCCAGAGGAGGCTCTCTGCTTGGTTTCTTCCCCAAATTTCTAGCAATATGAATGAGACCCCAGGCAAAGGCAGGAGTGTTAAAGGACTCATCAAAGTTTGACATGCCACTATTTGCTGTTATCTCCTCCTCCTAGAGTAAACAGAGGGGGGCAGTAAGCAGAGTTGGTAAGAAACTAGAAGGTAAAGTCTCCATGCTGCCAAAAAAGAGAAGTAAAACTGATCCATCCTGGTAAGGAAAATCCTCATAATCCCTTGTCTGGTTTCATTCATTCCAAAAAACCACACTTGAATAGGCTACTCAATATCCTACCTAAACAATACTTACAAATTAGTCACCTGGCAAAAAAATTCAACTTCTTTTGTTTTTTTTTTAAGTCTGGTTCCCTGAGGAACTCAAGGTTCAGCAAACTTTTTCCACCCAGGGACACCACAGAGTCAATATTTAAGGCTTTGTGGGCCATACAGTCTCTGTCCATATAGTCCCTGCTGCACCACTCAAATTTTCCACCATAGTGCAGAAGCAGCCCGAGACAATATATAAATGACTGAGCATGGTTGTGTTCCAATAAAACTTTACTTACGGTCACTGACATTAGAACTTCATATAATGTTCATATGCCGTGAAACACTGTTCTTTTGATTTTTCCCATCCAATTAAAAATTAATTCTTAGCTCAAAGGCTGTACAAAAACAGGCAGTGGGCCACATTTGGACTAAGGCCAACCCCTTTACTAATCTAATACAAGAGAATTTCAACTAGTCAAGCTATTAGTTACCACTTAAGGAACTTTCAATATGTACCAGGCAAAACAGGAGCACTTTATTATAATGCTGTAGACGAGGCTGAGGGCTGGTTTCTACACTTCAGAGGGTTGTAAAGGAAAACAAAGAATATACGACCAAGCTCCCATGTGGTCACAAAGGTCACATTTACTTCCTGGCCTTACACAGAAAAGGTTTGCTGGTCCTACTGTAGACATATATATCCCCATTTTGCAGATGAAAGCTCTAAAGCACAGAAGTACAAGTTATAGAACTAACTTGCCAAAAGTCACAAAAGCCAGTAAGTGGCAGAGCTGTTATTCAAACCCAGTTTTGATACCACAGTGCAGCTCTTAACCACTATGCAATACTGCCCTTTCAATTTTTGATCCCTCAATCTCAAGTTTCCTTTTTTCTTTTAGGCTAAGCACCATTTCATTAGGGTACTACAAACGAGTCCAGTAAGTACACTTCATTTTGCACTTCTTCATGGGATTGCTGGAAGCTGGAATTCCAATCATCCTCTAACATAAAAACACTCTTCAAGAACACATAATGTTGGCCAGGCCCGTGGCCTAGTGGTTAAGTTTGGCGCGCTCCACTTTGGTGACCTAGGCTCGGTTCCTGGGCATGGACCTATGCCACTCGTCAGCAGCCACGCTATGGCAGTGACCCACATACAAAATAGAGGAAGACTGGCACAGATCTTAGCTCAGGGCAAATCTTCCTCAAGCAAAAAGAGGAAGATTGACAACAGGTAGCAACAGATGTCAGCTCAGGGTGAATCTTCCTCAGCAAAAAAAAAAGGCAAAAAAAAAAACACATAATCTTCCCACAAATAAGTATAAGCAAAGGATCCCAATGGAATAAAATAGTTAAGAACAGATGATCTAAACATATACACGTGGCTAGTAGTAAAAAGCAGTTATCCACACTAATAAAAACAGAACACTAATATGATAATGAAAGATGCTAATTTTTTATATTACACTGATAAAGTTTTGACTGCCTTGAAAACAACTCTAGATAGCCATTAATAAAAAACTGATTTAGTTGGTACAACTATAAAACAATACTATGCAGCCTTTCCTTAAAAATGAGGTATATCTGTTAAGTGCCATTATGAAACTATTTCCAAGAATATTAATGAGAAGATAGAGAAAAGGGTGTGTGATTCATTTTTAAAGTATTACTAGAAACTTAATACCCTCCCCTATACACACACAAAGAGGTTTACTTTTTTTTTTTCTGGAAAGCTACCCAAGAAAACATTTTACCGTGGTAACCTCTGAGAAAAGAGATTAAAGGTAGGGAAGACAGAAGGGAGAGGCAAACTGCTGTTTGTTTTGTACTGTATGAATTTCTTTTTAAACAACACACATTACATACTTTTTAGAAAATATTTTAATCCTAATAATATACTGTGGAGGGTTTTTTTGGGGGGGGGGGATGGTATGCTAAATCATCCTTCACATACTTCTGATGGGAGTACATTTTACTCAACCTTTCCAGGGAGCAATAAAGCAAAACACATCAGGACCTTTAGCATTTGTTTTCAGGAATTTATCATAAGAACATTGGAAAACATACCAAAAAGGACAATTATAGCAACACTATTTGTAATAAGATAAAGTAAGAAACATCTAAAACATACACTTGCAGGATTAGTAAATTACTGTATACCACTTGATGAACATAAAAATATATCTAGCTCTAATACTATACTTATATTTGTACACATGTAATCCACATACGAAAAGGTATTAACACATTTGTCTTCAGGTGAACAAAACTGTGGCTTTTTTTTGGCTCACATTTTTTGATTATCAGGTAATGACCTGGTTTTAAGATTCCTTAACTTTATAACTACATAATCTGGTATTTTTTGTACATTATCATTAAAGTGATAATTTATTGAATAAATAAAAAGATACAGTTTTGGAATTAAGTTCATAAAAATTCAGTTCATATTTCTCCCTGTACTTACTTTTTCTTGAGTTTTAATAACTGGGGGAAAGAACATTCACTGAATTCAATATGGGATAGCAACCATACTGTTTGAACAGTCTTTTTTTTTTTTAATTCTTTTATACATCCTCGGTTTCACCTTCACTGACTCAATACACCCACTCATTTTTATAAACAACATATTTCAAGTGAATTATTTTAGACTCCTGAGAACCATGACCACAACTCATTGTCAATTTAAGCCCTTATTATGCAGGAGGATAACAGTTCAGAACACGGATATATAGCTTTAATGTTGGCTCTAACTGTTCTTGTGTAAAAGAATTCAAAGAGGTACCACAGCTAGGCACACTGTAATACACTGGTTCTCAAACCGGGAGCAATTTTGCAGGGGACTCTTGGCAATGTCTCGAGACATTTTTGAGTGTCAAGACTGGGGGTAGGGATGCTAATGGCATTTAGTGGGAGGAGGCCAGGGATGCTGCTAAAGATCCTACAATGCATAGGAGAGCTGTTCATAGCAAAGAATTATCCACCCCAAAATGTCAGTAGTTGAGAAATTGCTCTAATGAGCCAGTAACCTTTTTAACACGCCTCTCCATTACTTGGAATTTCCAGTCTAAATCAAATCTAAGTTTCTTCCCAATAATTATATACAATCAATGGCTTGATACATGTGTAGAAATTCTTTCCTTCCAAAATGTCTAAATTTCACCAGTAATACTTCCTGTTTTCATGGCTTCATATTAAATTTATTTTCTCTCATAACTACCAACAATCAAAAACTATCTTAATGATGGGGCTGGCCCCGTGGCTGAGTGGTTAAGTTCGTGCGCTCCGCTGCAGGCGGCCCAGTGTTTCGTTGGTTCGAATCCTGGGCGTGGACATGGCACTGCTCATCAAACCACGCTGAGGCAGCATCCCACATGCCACAACTAGAAGGACCCACAACGAAGAATATACAACTGTGTACTGGGGGGCTTTGGGGAGAAAAAGGAAAAAAATAAAATCTTTAAAATAAAAAAACTATCTTAATGAACTTTCTGCCTAGTACAGCAACTAGTAGGAAATTTTAAGTTATGAGTATTTTATTCATGTAATATTTTAACAATCTAGTAAAATATAACAATATTTACATACCCTCCCCATCCTCCATTTCTGGATACTACGCTTCATTCTTTGTCCTTACTAATTTCTCCTGAAACTTTTCCCTCATTATTCATTTTTACATCCAAATTAACTCAGTCTCTCCTACCTATTACTATTAAGTGCTACTTCAGCAACTACAAGCTTTCTTTTAGGCAGTTCCTAATGTGAGAATGAAAGTACAACAGTTCTATACGAGTAACAGTTATAAAGGTTAATTAATTTATTTAGCTCTTACCATAACTTATAAGAAAACTCAGGAAAGGAATTAAGCAAAATTAAATTTATATAAACAAGATTAGAAAAGGCTGCACTTTATAAATGACTGAATTTATTTTTTCACTTTATTAACTAATAATAAAAACATGCAAAGTTCCTAAAACTTTTAGGGAAGTGGAAAATGCTGCCCCTCCAACCTTTTCTTCTCCCAGGTGGTATAAAATCTGTACACAGTGGTTAAGAACATTAACAGTTAACAGTATACCATTTTTACTGTAATTCACATATTTTATTTTCTCTTATGCACTGTCTAGATTTCTATTAAGTGCATTTTTAAAAGTTCTTGTAGTTTGTCTCTATCAAAGTAATTCTAAATTGCTTCTACAGATTCTTGCATGTCAAAGCTGGTTTAAGCTAAAAATGAATACCCAGTTTGTTCATTAGATAACTAAGGTTACAATCTTTCTCAACCTTGCTATTCCTATTCTCACTTACCACACTTTTTCTAAGTGTCAGGTTACTACTTTACCAGGCAATTTAGTATATACTTAAGTAACAGGGAAAAATGTTGACAAGGTGGTTTGGGCAACATGATTTGTTTCCCCTCAGAACACAGAATTTACAGCAAAAATCTTGTGAGCATTATATAAATGCACCAGTGAATTAAACTTTTATAATAAGATATAAGACCACAGTAATTTCTAGTTACCTGCTGGCCTTCTAAGTGTTAACTTCTGCTACCTA